CTGCCTTTGTCCTATCTCAATAAAAGGGGCTCTCAGACCCCCAATCTGGGTCGTCGTCGCTCCATCCCAAGAAAGGTTGTCTCCTGTCTTTTCTCAACATTGGCCTCATGGGCGAACCACGGGAACGTTACAGCATATCCCTAATCCAAGCTACAGACTAGCCTTCCCCGCTGTGGTGCCGTCATAGCAGGGGTGGGATTCAGTCAGTTTGGCCCAGGAGTCTCCACACGGCCCACTAAACATGCTGGATAACTACAAAACAATGGGAGGGCAAAAAAATGGGCCTTCCGGAAGTTCTGGAAGTCTGGAAACAAGTCCGTTTCCAGTGGGCCTCTGGAGCCCGGGGAAGCCTGTTTTCGAGGCTCGAAAAAAGCATCTGGAGGGATGGGCCCACCAAAGTTTCGGAAGTCCAGAAACGGGCCCATTTACAACTTCTGGAAGGTCTCCAGAGCCCAGGTGAGGTCATTTTCGCCCTCCCAGAGTCTCAGGGAAGCCTACGGAGGGCGAAAAATGGGCCTTCCGGAAGTCTGGAAATGGGCCCGTTTCTGGAGAGCTTCTGGAGCATGGGGGGGGGGATGTTTTCCTGCTCCAGGAGTTTCGGGGAAAGCCTCCAGAGGGTGAAAACACCACCCTCCATGGTGCAGGAGGCCAAGTAGGCCATGCCCACCCAGCAATCGGTCAGAGAACCATTTGCTAATAATTTTGAATCCCACCGCTGTGTCAGTCCTACTCCTGCCATTCTTTGGCCAAACTGGCTGGGCAAGATGGAAACTGCAATTCAGTTCATCTGGATGGTGCCTGACTGGGAACTTTACATTGAACAGCTTCTAGCAGCCTCTAGTGGTACTAAATGACTGTTTCTAGAAACAGTATTTGTATCCGGGAACGGCGAAATGTTCCAAATGCAAATCATTCTGAATTGAAAGTTTTCCACCTTCCTAGCTCATATGCAATGTCTGGTTTGCTCTGATATAACGGACAAGACTTGATTTTTGGTATCTCTGGAATTACCAACAAATAAAACTGTTTCCTTACATCAGAGGCCCGACAATTCTCCGTTGGGTCTGCTCCTTGGTGAACTGCCAGCTCTCTCTTTCTTTTTAGCAAACTGTTTTTATTAGTGAATTAGACCTTACTGTGTCCTAGCAAGTTTCACAACTATAAAATATACTTTGGCTAGATTTTATTTCAATAAGGTAAAGGTTCCCCTCGCACATATGTGCCAGTCGTTCCCGACTCTAGGAGGTGGAGCTTATCCCTGTTTCAAAGCCAAAGAGCAAGCGCTTTCCGAAGATATTTCCGTAGTCATGTGGGCGGCATGACTAAATGCCGAAGGCACACAGAACGCTGTTACCTTCCCACCAAAGGTGGTTCCTATTTTTCTACTTGCATTTTTACATGCTTTCGAACTGCTAGGCAGGCAGAAGCTGGGACAAGTAACAGGAGCTCACACCGTTACCCGGTGCTAGGGATTCAAACTACCAAACTGCAGACCTTCTGACTGACAAGCTCAGCATCTTAAACACTGAACCACCGCGTCCCTGCTTTTATTTCCATAAGCGTAAGAACGATTTACAGCTGTTGGATGAAAAGGATTTTTGAGAGGAAAATAAGAAGAGAGAATAGCTGGTGTCCATTGTATCCTATCTCCATACCTTTTCCATCTCATAGAACCTAAATCGGTAATGGCGAACCTATGGCACACATGCCACAGGTGGCATGCGGAGCCATTTGTCAGGGCACGCGAAGTATTGCCCTGTCAGCTGGTCAGCGCGCATGTTCGCGCTGGCCACTGATGTCAGCCCTTTGAGGCCATTTTTCGCAACCAGTACTCCCCCCGCCATTTTTTGCATGCTTTTTTCACCCTCCCCAGGCTCCAGAGGCTTTATAGGGGAAGGCCTCCTCCCCCTGCTGGCGGGGCCGGCTTGGAAACAGTGAAGGAACGGCCTGCAGTGCATCTGCCAGCAAAAATGGAGCTTGGGAGGACTGCGTGCAGCTCTCTCTCTCAAGCTCCATTTTCTCTGGCAGAGTGTTGCAGGAGGCTGTCGCAGCCGAAAACGGAGCTCACAGGGCTGCAGGCGGCACTCCCAAGCTCCGTTTTCACTGGCAGAGGGTTGCAGGATGCCAAGCAGCTGAAACGGAGCTTGGGAGCCCATTTTCGCTGGCAGAGCGCTCGGGCTATCACCGCCTTCCCCGACACGAGTGAGGTCAAGCTGGCCACGCCCCAGCTCCCCCCAAGGTCAAACACAACCCTGATGCGGCCTTCAATGAAATCGAGTTTGACACCCCTGCCCTAGAAGGTTATCGATCAGCTACCTGTATCTTCATTTTGTCGTTTCATCAGCAAACTTAAATCATGCGTTTACCTTCCGGGCTTGCTCTTCGGCTCGTTCCTTTTTTATCTTCTCTAGCTCAGCTAGCAGAGCCGCTGTATCGTCGTCACTTTCTTCCTCATAATCTTCATCCTCCTCCTCCTCCTACAAATGGAGCAAAACCAGCAGACCGTTCATTTATACCCAAGAGGAGTGTGCAATGCTTCTGATTCCATTCCAGAAACGAACTTTGGACTGCACAGAGACCCAAACACAGCCCTTCCCTACCACTGATCCTATTAACCCTGCTGCTTCCCAAGATGCGGCTGCTTTAAAAACAGACAGGGGCTTCCCTTATGCTCTGACGCCTCTTTCCCAATTTATTTCTGAAATCTACACTAGTACCCTCCTGTTGGTATAAAAATTTTAATCCCACTTCCCTCAGTCATATCATAAGGTAAAGGTTCCCCTCGCACATATGTGCTAGTCGTTCCCGACTCTAGGGGGCGCTGCTCATCTCTGTTTCAAAGCCGAAGACTTTCTCCGTGGTCATGTGGCCGGCGTGACTAAATGCTGAAGGCACATGAAACACTGTTACCTTCCCACCAAAGGTGGTTCCTATTTTTCTACTTGCATTTTTTATGTGCTTTCGAACTGCTAGGTTGGCGGAAGCCGGGACAAGTAAGAGGAGCTCACTCCGTTACACGGCACTAGGGATTCGAACTGTCAAACTGCCGACCTTCTTGATCGACAAGCTTCAGCGTCTTAGCCACTGAGCCACCGCAGTGATAGTTTAGATCAGAGCTCACCAAGGTGGTCAGCTGGGGTGGGATTTGGAGGGTCTCCGAACCGGCCATAAAGTTAGCTACGGTTTCTCCAGAACAAGGGCGAAGTTCTATAGCTGCCCACCTCTGCAGCCGACTCAATCTTGAGTCAAAAATGGATCAGGACAGAAGTGATGACCTTAATACTTATCTGACCTGGACTGCACTAACCCGTCACAGCACAGGAGCTGTGAGTGGATCAAGATGGACCACGGGAAAAAGACCCACTGAGTGCCCAAAATTTTCTGAAATAACATACGTCAGTCAAAGGATCATCTGCATCAAGGTTAGCGGCGGGGATTTGATCGAGTCGAGGTTTCTTTGAGACTGAAGAGGAAGTTGTGTGTTCTGAGAAAAAAACATAGCCACAAAAAAAAAAAGAACTTATAACCAAACAGCAATGAAAGAAAAGTGAATACCACAGAAAATGAAACTGACAGATAAAAAAAACAATGTTATTAGGTCACTGTTAAGGTAATGATGATTTAATAGCTGATTAGCTGCTAAGGCTGTAAGCTGAGATGATGCTATGAGAATGAGTCAGCAGGGTTATCGCTTTAAGAAGCTTTACTGATTAGTCTATAAGCCAGGGATTGGCAACCTTAAACACTTAAAGAGCCACAAAGGTTCTAACCGGAAGCCCACCGTTCAATTCTGGAGCCAACCAGAAGTCCAGTTCCCCCACCATAGAGTCTCCTCCCAGCGTGGCGTCCTTTTTCCTCTACCTGTCCTAACCGAAAACCCTATCAATTGTGGAGCCAACCGGCAATGAGGAGCCGCAGCAGAGGGAAGAAAGAGCCACATGCGGCTCCAGAGCCATGGGTTTCTGACCTCTGCTATAGGCCATATCAAAGCACAAGGTTTAAACACTTGGAAATATTATTTTCTGTCATTTTACTCTATTTTTTATATTTATGCATTAAATTATATTGTATTTTATGCTATAACTATTGTATTTTTCCTGACTCTTATTTTAAATTGTTTGAGTAAGATTTTATTGGCGATATGTGTTTGAACCTTGTGCTTTGATATGGCCTATAGGCTAATCAATAAAGCTGTTGTATCACTTTAAGAAGCTGTCTATATAAGAGAGGCCCTGTGTGGGTTTGTGTGTGTGTGTGTGTGTGTGTGTGTGTGTTCGTTCGTTCCTCCATGTCACACTTGAAGATTGATTCCATGGCTTTGCCAATGCTGTGTATACATGTATATATGGGTATGTGTGTATGTGTGTTCGTTTGTTCGTTCCTCCATGTCACACTTGAAGATTGATTCCATGGCTTTGCCAATGCTGTGTATACATGTATATATGGGTATGTGTGTATGTGCCTGCGCACACACGCATATACACACATCTTGTAGATAAACCAGTTTGAAAGACAAAACCTCTATGTCCTGTATTTTGCTCCTGGGTTGTCTCAAAAGAGTCGTCATACTCTTCACACACTGACAATCACACCAATATTTCCGTATATCCAAATTCTAATAAGCATTGTATTACTGCTTTCTCACTGGGAAAAAGAAGAGGCACATGAAGGTGCCAAGACTCTTCCAGGTCTCAGTGATTTTTGCTCATAAGCCTGTAAATAGTCTTTAAAGTAAAGGAAAGAAGTTACCATATTTTTACCATAAGTTACCATAAGATGCACTGGATTATAAGACGTACCAAGATTTTTGAAGAGGTAAATTTTTAAAAAAATGTTTTTGCACTCTGCAGGCTTCCCAAACCCTCTGCACGCCGCATTTTTTTGTGGAAAAATGTGGCATGCAGAGAGTTTGAGAGTCCTGCAAAGCGCTCCTAGGGGCTGGGGGCAGCAAAAAATGGCCTATTTTTCACAAAAATGAGCCTGTTTTTTGCAAAAACAAAAAACAAAAACAGGGCATGCATAGGCTTTGGGAAGGTTTGTAGAGTGCTCCTGGGGGCTGGGGGGCAAAAACAAGCAAAAATGGCCCATTTTTTACTTGTTTCTGCCCTTTCCAGCTCCCAGGTGCACTTTGCAGGCCTCCCAAACCATCTGCATGTCCATTTTTGCAAAGGGGACGGGGTTTCGGGAGGCCAACAATGCTGTATTCAGTGTATTAAGACACACCCAGATTTCCACCCTTTGGGGGAGGTGCCTCTTATACTCTGAAAAATACAGGAATTACATACCTTTTTAAACTCCATAGTTGAACTGGCCTTATATTAAGTAATTGCACCCCATGGAATATTTTCAAACTTTACTTGAGTGAACCCCTTTTGGGCTTCCTGGGCCTGCACTCGATCCACAGCTATCGCCACAGAGGCTGATCAACCGCACAAAACAACCTCTCTGCTATGGTGGTGGCACAAACCTCGTGCTGGCCTGTCTCGGTTCTTCTCTCTGACGGCCACTCTCTCCTTCTCCTCCAGTTCTCTCCTGAAATCACGGTTGCGCACCTCTTCAGGGGCATCCTGAGTGGTTTGCCTGAAAGAAGCAGCACATCAAGAAGGCGAGTCAAATTTATAATAGAGAGAACACCTATTTAATTAACCATATATTAACTGCAGCTAGCACTGCATTTGCACAACATTGGAAAAGTGAAGAGATTCCTATTGATGAGGTGGTGATTAGGAAAATATTAGACTGTGCAGAAATGAATAGATTGACACTAATAATTAAAGAGAAAGGAGGGAGGGAAGGAAGGAGGGAAGGAAGGAGAGGAGGAGAGAAGAAAGGAGGGAAGGAAGAAGAAGTAGGATTTTTGTAAAATAAGATGGGTTTATGGGATGGTAAGAAAGTAATTTCAATTATATTGTCAATTGTAGGGGAGAA